GAACATTTTAACCACTACGTCAAAGTTTTTTGGAAAAAAAAATTGAAATCTACTTTTAAAATATCCTCTGGTAAAACCCAAGGTATTCTTCCAAAAGGAAAAGCAACACCTTACTGGAAGAGACTGATTTAATCATCTGACCAAGTGAAACAAAAGCAAACAAACAAAAAAAAACCACTGGTAATGAGAAAGAGGGGATGCTTTTTAAAGCAACCCACAACAGAAGTAAAATAAACATGTTGCGTCAGTTAGGTATATTCCTGAAAACTTTAGACAGGTGCAGATAGGGCAGAAGACAGACAGGCACAGAAACAGAGAATGCAGAAAATCAAGTGTCACAGAGTGTTATCAACTACAGAACCTTGGCTGTAAGTATTCACCTTGCATGCCGTGCTTGCAATATTTTTGCAACTTTGAAGTTATACTAAAGTAAAAACAAAAGTCTCATCTGAAAACTCTTCAGGTCCCAGAAAACCTCAGGCAAACCTGTGTAACAAAGCAGGTAGAGTAACTGCAGATCTTTCCCCTCTCTCTGCTCCTCCAAATGCAATCCCCCTGTTTGATCCCCAGCTCTGGATCATAACATGTGCAACAATCTGCTTCCCCTTCTTCCACTGTAGTCAACCAATCACAAAGGTCTTCTACGCAATCCTACCTCCCCCTACTAAATGCTTTATTCCAGCCCCCACCTCCAACAGGTGCTCCCTGGGGATGCCCAGGTGACTCTGACCAGGGAAACAAGCAGGATGACTGCAGCTCTTCACTTCTCCTCCCATTCCCAAAGTCCAATTCCCCAGTCTCATGTCCAGATCTGTAGCAGACATCGTGTTGTGAACTTTCCTCGTTCTCTGTCCCTATTCCCAGAGGCCTAAGCAGATCCTGGTAGAAAATCTTGCTTTCGTCCCTCTTGGGAACCCATTCAGTTCCAACTGAACACATCCCTGTTCCTAAGCTCCCAATACTTAGGAATATATTTTACCTGAAGTCTACAGTGACCACAACTATCAGGACCTAGAAGAACTGTCTACCAAGAAACACATAGCCACTACACTCTCCTAAGTACCAGAGAGAAAAAAAATGCCAACCCAACAAAGACAAGAGTGTCCCAGAATATTTGTTTACACTGTGTGAAAATGAGTTATTCTGACTGGTTAATAAAGAGATGAATGTCAAATATCTAGGCAGGAGAGAATAGATGGGATTTCCAAGGAGAGAGAACTGTGGGAAGAAGAGAGTTGGGGATTTTGTCAGCAGACTCAGAGCAAATCTGACATATCATACTGAAGAAAAGTAAAAAGCTATGTGGCAAAACACAGATTAATAGAAGCAAGTCAATTTGTGTTAGAAGAGCTATCTTGGACAATCCTAAGCTAAGAACAAACTTTCATAATTAATAATAGGTCTCCTTGTTGTTACTTGAGGAATGGTGATCCAAAGCTAGTCTGACAAGAAAGCTGACTGTACAAGAATAGAAAGCAGCATCTAGGTACAATTTTCCAAATCCCGGACAAAGAGACTTCAGGATAAAAACACAATCAATAACATCTGGGACAAGATGTCTCCACAACAGCCCAGTAACCCAATCACAGCAGTTTCTGAGTATTCGAACAAAGCTGAAGTACAAGAAAAAGTGTTTAAAACCAGCTAGATGAAGGTGATAGAAGTCCTTAAGGAGGAAACAAATAAACCCCATGATTAAATGATTGAAAATATAAACAAAGAATGGAAGAAAATGAATAGGACAGTTCAAGACCTGAGAGTGAAAACTGAACCAATAATGAAAAGCCAAACTAATGTCGGTCTGCAAATTAAACCCCATGAAGATGCTAGAAAGAAAACACCAACCTCAAGGAATTAAGAAAAACACAAGCAATATATAATTATAGACCCAGCAAACAAAAAGAAGGGAAGCACACACACACACGCATACACACAAACACACATATACACATGCTCTTGCAGACACACCACCACCACTGAGATCACCACCACCACCACAATGAACACCAAAAGAAAATAACAGTAATGAACAAACATTGGCCATTTATATCTCTCAACATCAATGTCACAGTTTTGCAGTAGAAGGACTCCTACTAACAGAGAGTCAGAGAAGATGGAGGACACCAGGACAATAAGGCCTTCTAAAGAAATATGAGCAAAGCCCATATGAACTCACATAGAGAGAGGCAGTAATCACAGGTCCTGTGAAGGTCTGTATGATGTCCTCTATATAAACATTATGGGTCCAGTTTAATATTTTATGGGATTCCAGAGTATGTGAGAAAGCTAAACTGAATACTGGGAGAAAGAAGGTGGATTCAAGAGATGCCATGGAACCACCAGAGGAGAGAAATGCCATGTAGCCACCACCAGGAACAGACAAGCCAGAACCCTGCTGGTAAGCCACAGCCATGTGGCAATACACAGATTAATAAAAAATGGGTTAAATTAAGATATAAAAGCTAGCTAATAGAAAGCTAGAGCTAATAGGCCAAGCAGTTATTTAATTAATACAGTTTCTGTGTGGTTATTTCAGGGCTGAGCAACAGAGAACAAACAAGCCGTCTCCTACAACCCTTCAGAATTTGAAGGCATAGCTTGGCATAGGAACAAAGCAACTAAGAATAATTAGTCAGTAACACCATGTTGGTGAGTACAACCCAACTTTGGATACCATTTGTGTTATGTTTTTAGGGAGCACTGCTTATTCTAATGGAGCACCACTACCAGTGAACACTGAGTGATATAGTCAAACAGGAAAATAGTAAGAGACTGGTTAGGATGTACCAAGTCTGCGCATTAATTCTTTCTTCCCTGCATGAATGTACTCTGGCTCATTGCCTACTATGAATGTGATTACTATATACATTCTAATATGTTTGGAGTCTTCTCAGAAGTTAGGCCTTAAATAACTAAGATCCTACACACCTGAACTATTTTAAAATAAACTGGACACACCCTTCACTAACTATATCCTATCCCTGTGCTTTGTTAATGAAAGATTCAATTACTGTTTTACAAGTTAAAATCAAGCAAGCACCAGATGGTAATATGTAACACATTATTCTGAGAGAGACTTTCATAATATATTGATTTCAGTAACACCAAAACAATTGCAGGGTTGATTACAATGGGTAAAAGAGGAAGAAATCACCCAAAGGAGATAAATATGTACACATCCCCGTTCCTGTGCCCAACAGCATTCTCCTAAATTATTAAAATTGTACTTAAGGAGGTGAGTTACTTATATCTTAAAGACGTTTCAGTGCGTGCACATGTAGTTTACATTGTATTGCCAAGTTTATGCCAAGTGTCATCCTGAAATCCCTTGTTCTGCTGGACATTTTTCTCATGTTCTGTAGAGTGAAAAACAGCAAGAAGATAAGGACATTGAAATAATCAGTGTCCCTGAAAAGAGCTCTAAGCCATTTCCAGCAGAAGTTTTGCTTGTGACCCATGATATAAAAACACGAGTAGTGGGAAAGTGAATCCCGAAGTCCAGGTGTGAGCAGAAGCTCTTCAATGGAGAGGGAGCCCAATCAGGAACTCCAGCCGATGGTCTCAGCTTCCTATTTGGTGTCTGAAGAGTGTTGGGACCCTGATTTGGTGTCTTCCCTTTCTGTTGCTATTTGTCTTCTGACTTGGAAACTCCATCCAAGGAAATACAGGCTTGTCCAGGACTACCTTTATGGGAACACCAGCTGACATCCTTAATTGGACTTCACAAGTCAATTTCAAGAATATTGTAAGCTCCTAATTTGCTTCCATTTTGCTGTCATCTATCTAGTTACTGATATTTTTTGCTGTGGATTCTTATATAGTTAATAAACTCATTTATTCAAAACTGGAAAGTATGCCTATTGTAGTTCGTCTTTGCTCTATGCGGAACAGTACGTCATAGGGAAAAAGGGCAACACCCAGTCAGGCTGAGTCAGTATTTTCAGTCCTACAAATATAGACTGCATATATTCAACTCTCAGGCATTTTGCTGAGTGATGAGACTTTGAATAATTTTCACTTACTCATGTGCAATTTTTGCATTTTCTGAATTTAATTTTCTGTTGTGAATTTTTCTTGTTGCCGAAAATCACGGGAATATGCTAATCTCATTTACAAACTTACAAATGAAACAGACGTACTGAACGTGCTTTCTTTCTGCTAGGCTAGGTATCGTCATGTTTCTTCGAAGATTTTCACAGACTGGAGGGAAATTGAGGTGTTGTTTACTCTCGGATGTCAAATTGACTCCTTCTAGGTACTGTATTTGTATTGTTGGCTTGAATGCCAACAGAGATTAATAGGTGATATGTTATCTATGCTTTCCCAGGCCTGTCTTGTTTTAGGAGTGAGGAGCCTTGCTTTAACAAAACATCTAGTTTAAAAATAAATCCTTCTGATTGTGTTTTCTTCATCAATATTTCCCATGAAAATATATAACTAATATATAACTTCTGTTTACTTAGCAATTTATATTTGAAATTATTTTTGATTATTTAAAATGACTTCAATCCTTGATGACTGTCTTATTTAATAATCTGTATCAATGAGAAGCAAATAATCTTTAAGATTTATTTATTATTTTTACATAAGAGCATTTCTATTCAATTATACATTGTGAGTTGAGCTCCCTACATCCTAAAAGTTTAAATTGTAATAACAGTATCTGAAGATCTCTGTCAATGGAATAGTGCATGTGACCACTGAAAATACAATTATTTGAGGTTCTTTGATATTTTAGTACAGTAGGACCTAAGCAATCATAAGAGACAAATGAGATTATATTGTCACATAACGATTCACGAATCTTTAATACATCTAATAATTACTTGTTGAATAGCTATATAGTAGATAGTAGAAATAGCTCTCTGCTGGTGAGTAAAGTGAAATATTCAGGAAAATTGATTTTATTTTGCTTATTAAATTTAGGGCAAAAGCAAAAATAGCTGCTCCTAAATCAGACTGAAATAACTTCTCGCAAAGGAAAGGTGAGCGTTAAATACCATAATAGTGCAATCAAGCTCAGCTCTTCATATGCAATCACGGTTCAGGAGGGATTCCTCCAGAGTCCCAGGGACCTGCAGTCGATCAGACTCTTCATGGGAACTGAGAAAATGAGGAGAAAAATTGTTATTTGTACTTGCCATGCTGTTAGTCGTTTATAGACTCACTCCAAATATAATCACGCTGCCTTAGCCTCCTGAGTCCTAGACATAAGCTATGGTCTACGGTCCAAATAGATGAAGTTAATAAGTGAGTCTTGGACCAATGAATAGAAGAGGAAAGCCAGGAAGACATGTAAGCATGTCGCCTTGAATGGAAAATTGCTATTAGTGGTGAGTCTGAATTAAGTGTAAGGTGACCTTGGCAACATATCTATCTCCTTCCCAGGACACAATATAACGATCACATTTCCACACCATTACTGCAAGGCTGCTTTGTCATTATACAAAGAATATGGGGCATTTTTCATCCAGCAATAGAAGATGAGGTTAAAATAGGAGGGAAAATAGTCTCCTTAGAAATTTGTATGATTTTTTCCCCCTTCAAAAAGTAAATGTTTACAAAACCTGTTAAAGATGCAAAAGGGTTCACAGCCCCATCTAGTGGTCAGGAGATGATTTACTACCAGCGCAGCCTAGACTTGCAATTCAGAAGCACTGGATACTGCAGGTTTGGAGTCTTGCTGGTTTTCTGACACAATACAGGATAAAAATAGTATACTAAGTAACTGTTAAACGGTAAGAAATTCCCTGTCCATGTGTTAATACTTAAATGGTAGGAGCCCTTGCCCCCAGATGTAAACTTAGACCTGAGCACTTCTGGTTAAGTATTAGACAGCTCAAATGACTAATGCTAAGTACTTTTTCCACATGACATTTTTGTTGATTCTCTGGGAGTTTCACATCATGCACCCCAATCAAAATCCTTTCCCAGTCCTTTCATGCCCTACCCCCTTATGACTTCTTCCCTACAAAACAAACAAACAAACAAATAAAATCCCCTTTGAGTTGTCTATATACTCATGGTAAGTATTTTGATTATAGAATAATGTGTATATTTTTTGATATATCAGAGGACTTAGCAATACCAGAGTCTCAGAGTGAAGTCGGTCTGGGTATGAGAGCCCATAGCTATTATCCTGCTGCTAGGGTGGCTAAGGAAAGATTGTGCCTTCTGGCCTAGCCTGAGCTACAAAGAAAGACCTGCCTCAGCTGGGCAGTGGTGGCACACGCCTTTAATTCCAGCCCTCATGGAGGCAGAGGCAGGAGGATCTCTGTAAGTTTGAGGCCAATCTGGGCACAGAGTGAGTTTCAGAACAGTCAGAGATACACAAAGAAACACTGTCTTTAAAAAATTGAAAATGGGCAAAAGTCAACTTAAAAATTAAAATAGTTGAAATTTCAAAGAATATCTTGCTCTAACTGGAAAACTTGTGATTGTAATTCTTGTAGAAATTTGAGAATAAATAAAATCTACTGAATATAATGCCAGGTTAAATTCTAACCCTCACCTTCACCACATCTCAAACACTCAGGAATTTAAATGTCTAACCTACTAACAGGACAGTATTAAACTCAAATAATTTAGTCATGAAATACCTCTAAAGGATGGAGATGGCTCAGTTGGGAAAGTGCTTGCTGTCCACACAGGGGCCCTGGATTCATTTCCCCAACAACTTCATAAAACAGTGGATATATTGGTGTGAACCTATAATCCAGGTCTGGGAGGTGGAAGCAAAATGGTCCCAAGAGCTCACGAGCCATCCAATCTAGTAAAATCCATGAATCGCCAGTCCAGTCAGACACCCTGTCTCAAAAATTAAGGTGGATACCCATTGACGTCTGACCACCATCTGTGCACACACACCTGAATGCGATAGGTGCATACACACAAAATTAAAAATTTAAATGGCCTCTTTTATTATAGTAAGATAAAAACCACCAATGAATACACAAAGGTATTGCAATTTTCTGCATAGGATCAATGAAGCACCTGTAGCAGGAAAGGAAACTCAGCCGAGGACTTCATGGCCTCCTGCAGGAGATCAAGCAGGCATCACTTACACGATCACATGGTGCAAGAAGCTCAGGGGGTGTGCAGGATGCTAACCAGATGCTGGGCTTTGGCAGTTCCGAGATGCTCCAGCTGGCCTCCTAAGCAGCTTCACGGGCATCATCAATAACCCATAATCAGCATGTAATGGTCCAACAAGTTTACCAACGAGACCATCCTGGAAGTCAGCCAGCCCTTCAGCCCTGACAGGAGCTCGCTGCAGTTCAATCCTCCTGAGCTAGACACGTTTAGAGAAGGGATGACAGCAAGAAGTACAAGGAACAGCTGTTGGGAAGGCTCGCGCGGAGTGAGACAAAGGGGATGCAGGTCCGACAGTTGAGGTGAAGCACGCGAACGAGGCTGAAGGGGCAGTTAGAGTGGAGGAATGGGAACGCATTTTTCCAGTCTGTGCTCGGCCACCGAATACCAACCGGAAGAGTCTGGAGCTTCCCACACCAAGAATCAGGATCTTTTCCAGGATTAAGCTCACAGATAATGATGACAGTAAGGAATATTCTTAGGTGCGTCTATTTAAAATTCAAAACTAGAACGCAATTCTTAACATCTCGCTAGTGATAACCAGCGTTAATTTGGACTACATGCATCTTACCTGGATATTTATATGACTTCTAATTAACTGTGGTTGGAGACCTTTAATCTCTTATTACCAAGGAATAAATATGAATTAATGAATGTCAAAAAAGGCTGTACCAATTATACTGAAAGGAGAAATTACAAAGGTCAGAGGCTGAAAAGAAATAGATTGCTTTTCTAGGCAAGGCCTGTGGTTAGTTCTGCTGTTCTCAATTCCTGGTTCCTAGTCTGTCCCGCACAATGGAAAATCCTTCAATTCCCTTCAGTCAGGGAGAGGAAGAATCACAGTTCTCCAGTTGAAGTGCCCAACATCTGTCAACAGTAATGTCTGCAACGTTTCCTTCCTCTCAGCTCAAACCCAGAAATCATTAGGGAAAGGAGCAGGTGGTTGGGAGGGAAGTGTCTGATTGGCTGGCTGGGATCCCTCCAAATGTGCAAGTGGGGCATGAAAAGGAAACGAAGTCTGAGAAAGCATGCCCACCCTTCCACTGCCCCCACTGGCGTTGCTGTATCCTCCTCATAAAACTCTGTTGTCCATGCCCCACTTCAATCTTTTTACCTTCTTCTCCTTCTAACAGTGGAACTCCCTTTAAGCCAAGGTAATCCTCCCTTTTCTCCATCAACTGTGACTTCTTTCACTCTCTTCTGCCAGATAAATGGAGTCCTCTTCTGAGTTACCGAAGTTGCCATCTGCCTAAGAGAGCTAAAATCCAGCCTTCTTGCATGCTGACCCTTTGGTTCGTGGAAGACCAACCTTTGCTTCAGCAATTCTGTGAGGGCAGGCCTGTAGAGGGCGACTGCTCATTTGTTTCCCAGCCACACAGACCTATATTATCACACAGAGACTATATTAATAACAGCACTGTTTGACCAATAACTTAGAAGTATTTCTAGTTATTTCTTATATCTTAAATAACCCATTACTATTAATCTGAGTATCACACGAGGTTGTGTCTTACCAGGCAAAGTTCCAGCATTTGTCTCCTTTGGTAGCTACACGGTGTCTCTCTGACTCTGCCTAGAGAGAGAGAGAGAGAGAGAGAGAGAGAGAGAGAGAGAGAGAGATCTTCCAGCCTGGCTCATGTTCTGCTATAAACCAAAGTAGCTTCTTTATTAACCAATGGTAATAAAACATATTCATAGCATGCAGAGAGGAATCTCACATCACAGGCCGTTCTCAGTACCATGTGCCCTTTAAACCATTAGGAAACCAAAGGAGGCACAGTCTAGCACAGCAGCCTTGCATACTGCACAGAAAATGAACAACGGTCCCTAAATGCCTCTCTGGGAACCTAACCACTTGGATTAGAGTCACGGAGAAACTCTCCTCCCCCTTCTTTCAGGCTGGGGTGAGATTAGAACACCCTCATCTATCTCTAAAGGAAACTGAACTTCATTTACTGATCCACTCTTGTCCCGCTAGGTCCTTCATATTAGTCTGATGCATAAGAATGAAAATTCATCTTGATTGTCTCCATTTCTGAGTTCTTTCTGAGTGAGCCAGCTTCTTCTGCTAAAATGGGTCAAAGGCCAGTAATTGGTCCATGGGACCTCTCTTGGATTCAGTTTCCCAGTAACAAGGGTCTGAGAGCACATGGGGCATGTTCTGTTTGTGATGATGCTAGAAATTCCTGTGGGATATCTGCAGAGGTGAGACTTTGAAGGAGAAGAGGATGAGAAACAAGAGAATATTGAAGTGGATGGGGGGGGTTCCAGTCTCTGTAATAGAGAGGGACGCTGAAAGATAAGAATAGTCTTATATAGTAAGGCACCAGAGTGATAGAGACTGGGCATTAACTAGAGTACCAATTTCAGCATAGGGGAATGGGTGGAGGGGCTCCATTTGGGACGAATGCTTGCTTAGTTACGGAGAGTTTCTTTGTGTGCCATTTCCTAGCATGTAATTTGAACAATGCAAAGGAGGACAGCCCAAATTATCTGCTCGACATATCTGAGAGGTCAGCCAGAGCTACTGTGTGTCTAATTTCCAGTTATGCTTTTACTACCATGCAAATAGGGGACAATCAATAAGGGCAGTTAGAGCTGATCAAAGCTCAGTCCTGGTGGAAGCCCTGTGCTTCCGGGTGCTGGGCTGCAAGCCTGGAGTGTGAAGTGGCACTTCAACAGCAGTTTAGCATCCCAGTACCAGACTTCTGAAATTTTCCCAGTGAAGACCTGCTCCATTGTATGAGAAGGCCAACTTCTGCTGCGAGCACATTGAATCTAGGCCCACAGGGGAGCTCTGTCTCCGTGCAGAAGCAGAACTCAAGTCATCCTAACCAGCAACTGAGAATGTCAGGTAGGTGTTCTACAGCAAAGTCACCTGATGGAAATCTTGTGCCAGCAAAGAGAGTCCATTCATTCAGCAGCTTTTTGTCACCAGATGCCACATGAAGTGCAGAACAGGTTTTAATTTAACCCCGCCCCCCAAAAAATGGCAGAAAAGATAAAAGTATTGTCGCTTGGAGTTTTGACTATCTCTCCTACAAGAGTAAGAGCTGAGCATGTATGAAGCTACAGCTGCAGCCACACCCAGTGACCCAGTACAACACAAGACTGGTGTTGATACACAGTTAAATTAGCACTGGTAACATCAAGTAGGAATGATTTCATTAAGGTAAACTGTTCTTCTCTTATTTTCTCTTCTGCATTACACACTCCTTTCTTCTGTTATGCCCTCAACCTCAGACCTCTCCCTCAAAGCCCCTTGCTGTAGTGGAAAGACACAAAGCCCTTTCAGTAAGAAAATGCCTTGGTTGCCCTGGTCTTCATTATGTTTACACCGAGGCCAGCAAACCCTTTCATTAAAAATACTTCTAACTCCCCACCATTCATTGTCTCTCAGGGTCATTGCCTTCCAGCATTCATTTAGAACGTGAGAGCATGGTTCATGTGCCCATGCAAATGACATATGCCGCTCATTTCTCACTATTCTTGAATCCTTTTAGTGAGCCATTCACAGCCTTTCTCCCCCTTCACACTTATGGTTTCACCACAACCTCGGGAAGGAATCACCACTTCTGTTGCCTTATTCTATAGCAGCTTTCTTTTAGTATATACTGACTATCCCAGTCTTTAATTTCCCTCACTGGGTGTCTTGATGATCAAGAGTGCTTAAAATTGTGTCTTCTCTTCTCATCGACAAATGCTTGGTGTCCTCACTTGCTTCCCATTGTTGATCAAACCTGATTCTTCATCACATCTTAATCCTGAATGACTCAGATCTTTCTAACACATTTAGGAAAGAAATAAAACATGAAGGTGACAGAGGAAGCAACCGAAAAGAAGGAAGAACTGAAAAACAAAGACATTAAGCATTCACGACCACATACATTCTCCATCATTTGTTCTTCCTTGATGCTTCATTTTCCACTTTCTATAAAACTAACTTTAGGCATTTGTAGAACCCCGGCCTGCCACCTGCTCGGTTGCCCAAATCAACGTTCAAGCTTAGTCAGACACAGAAGTTAGAAGTTTGGGTAAAACTAAGCACATTTGTGGTATTTGTCATAAAAAGAGTAGTTTTAAACCACTCCCTTCCTGTAGTCATCCCCTTGCTCTCGGGCACACTGTCCTGGATAGTTACAAGAAAACTGCAACGATTTCTGTATCAGCAAACAGTACCCTGATGCCTTAAGTATAACTGAACTGGGAGAGATTGAGTTAAGTCTCTCCTAGGTGGTATGCTTAGCCACTTCACAGCTGTAATTCATATAAGGTGGAAGCGATTCCAGGGCCTAACTAAGCCTGTGTCACCTACACACAACACATGGAGCAGCCCAGCTGCCAATTCCACCAGTCTCTAACTTCTGAGGGTGGGGTCTCTCCTAAGTCATGTCCCTCTTCTGCATAAGTAACCCTGCTCTTCCACAAGGAAACACCATCTGGTTTATGTCATCTGCTGTTCTATTTGCTACATTGTCATTTCCCTTCGATCAACCCTATCTCCATCATCTTACCCTTCCCACTCACTCCCTCCCATTAGCTCCTTGCCGTTGCCGTTGCTGTACTCCAACAAATCTACTACAGCTTTCTGCTCTTGCTTGATCCACTTGCATCTGACGGCCTCCATTGCCTGGGTTCCTCCTTTACAGATCTCCTGTTTCTGCCACTTGGCAGTCCTTCCCTACATATGCCAAGTCTGTCTCATTTTCTCTCTCAGATCCCCCTCTGAACAGTGAGTAACTGAGACAGAATTCTCTGGATCCTTATCTCCTCTAGTATGTCACGGGTCAGATTTCCCATCTGTGCTCTTAGCCTAAATATTTCACTCTCTACTAGACATTTATGTCTGTGTATCCATAGGTTGCTCAAATATATAAAAGGTAATAAAAAAATCTCATCCCAGTATCTCCTGACACTGCTGAGTCCTGCAGTCCAGTCCTTCCAGTATATTCATGCTGGAGGGAAGCTGCTTGTTTGATCCTGGCTGCTTAGCCCCGAAATAACCTGTATTAGTTAAATCACTGGCCCATTATCTCTAGCTTATTATTGGCTAACTCTTTTATATTGATTTAACCCATTTCTATTAATCCGTGTATCACTATGTGGCTGAAGTTCCATCCATCTCCGGTACAGTTACATGGTGTCTCCCTCTGATTCTGCCCTTCTTTTTCCCAGCATTCAGTTTATTTTTCCCTGCCTAACCAAGTTCTGCTCTGCTATGGGTCCAAAGCAGTTTCTTTATTAACCAATG